ATGATAGGTCTAATTAAATGTATGGATATACAATCTACTTAATGGAACCAATCATTTAATGTCACCTAAATCGCTGTTAAATGCGTCTAGTGTTGATATGAGAAACGATAAAGATGGGATGCTAGTTGAACCGGTTATTAAAAATAGCACGTGCAATAGAAGTGGTCGATGCAGTATTCTTGTGAAGATATTCTAAAATAAACGAAATCGCTTCACCTATAGGATATTTAGTGTCGTCATCTGCTTTTCCTTCAACCCAAAGATCAGATTCTACCCAAAAAGTCAACCTCAGTTGTGTTAGGACCAGTTTAGGAGCAACACATGGCATTAAACGATATATGTAATTAAATGTATAGTATACGATCCGTTTAATTGAACCGCATTCAAACCGCTACTAATTACCACTACTACTAGACGGGAAAAATGGTAAAGATGGAATGTTAGTTGAATCATTTATTAACAATAGCATGCACAATTGAAGTGATGAATAACTCTTGTAAAGATAAATTAAAATAAACCGAAACTACTTCACTTATAGGAAACTAGTGCCATTGTTTGCTTTCTCATCAACCCAGGAATCAGATTCTACTGAAATAGTCTAACATGAGTCGTGTTTAGGACCAATCCAGGAGCAATACACGTGGCATTAAATGATAGGTCTAATTACATATACGGTACCAATTATATGTCTTATCATTTAATGCAAGTAGATCAGTACTAATATCGATAGTGCTAGATACGAGAAAGGATAAAGATGGGAGGATAGTTAAATCGGTTATCAAAAATAGCATGCACAATAACGTGATGCATTACTATTGTGAAGACAAACTAAATAAATAATACAAAACAACTTAGCCTCTAGAAAATTAGCGTGTCGTTCACTTTCTCTTCGAACCCTGAAATTAAATTCTACCTAAATATTCTATTTGGAGCCACAGAGACCTGTCTTCCTATTCTAATATGGACATGGTGTTCTTGAAAGAAAAAAATGGTTTTTATCGATTTGCTAGAAACAACAATCTCATTCTCCGTGCCTGTAATTTTTCATGGGTTCAAAATTTTGAGATTCATAACTAATTGTGTACCGTGTATCCTGTTACTAGTGTACAAATTTTTGAATTTTGACATATTGCAAATGAGGAAAGGACTTTGGAGGAAAACATCGGAAAAATTACAAATGAGGTCCCTAGTGTATTTAGAATATAACAAGTAGGTCATCAGCCTAAAATTTTGGCAACCTCACTTCACAACTTTTATGTTGTAATATCTGAGTATCCAATTGATGATTTTAATATTTTCTCCGATTTTTGCATCTTTTACAAGGTGAAAAACAATGTCAGAATGGTGGTGATGATGAAAATACTTCGTGTAATAATCTTGGAACGAGTCAGCCATGAGTTCGGGTTTCTGTGCCAGCAAAAGCGATTGTGGCCTTTGTGGATTCTCAACTCTCAGGAATTTCCAGTATGTAATGAAAGAATCCCTTCAGGTGCAATTAATGAAATTGTAGTAAACATGGTATTTCTTTTTCATATTCCTAGCAAACTGTGCCTCGAGAATTCAACTTAACGAGATTCTGGTATGTTATGATCATAAAGGTTCTTATGCTGCATAAAAAAGTTATCTTAATTTATCGTTGCATATTGTGATGTGTGTGAGCTTATAATTGATCCCCTTCAGGTATTTATGGAGCATTCTGTGTAAGGATTTTTAATTAAAGATGAGCTTGTATGTGTAAATAATTGTGTGTTAAATTATAGACTATCGAATTCGGTTGAACCTAATTAAAGTGATCTAATAAGGTTTCAATTTTGGACTTTAATGTATTCAATTAAAGTATGTGTTTACATATGTGTAGAGACCGGGCCCAAGTCCTAATTCTATGATGGGCCGAATTAGGTCAAAGGGCATCCCTATATAAATAGGTTATGGTCCCCATATCACACGCAACGAAACGAATTATTCATTCTCTACTGCATCCCATCACAGAGAGAAAAATGAGACTGCGTGTAGATTTGGAAGATCATACCGCGAAATTCATATTGCTTTAACCATGTCTGATTCAGGTATACTTCAGCTTTAATTGTTATATTTCTTGATGATTTAACATGAAAGATCCAGTAATTTAAAGCATTAAATCACACAACAAGTGGTATCAGAGCCTCTTCATGTTGAATCATTGAGAATCGAATAATATAATTTGGTTCTTGCAATATATTTTGAAATTTTCAGATTTAACAATTTTTGGTTATATATTTTGTTAAATTTGAAAAAAATTTTGCGGTATAATTCTTGTTATTTTTGAAATTCGGATTAATGGTTGAAAAAATTTAGATTTTGGAATTTTGGTTTTTTTTTTTTTTTTTTTTGGTTTCAGATTAAAAAAAAAAATTTTTTTTTTTTGGCAGCACACGCTGCTGCAAAACGCAGCAGCAGCGCCTGGCGTTTCTGCCTGTGGCGTCAGCGTGGGCCGGCGCCACTCCACCAGGCGGCGCGGGAGTGCGCCACCGCCAAGAGAAGAAGGAAAAAAAAATTTGGTTTTTTCAGTTTTTGATTTTGAGGGCGGGGGCGTTTCCTGTAAATTAGATGAATTGAGGTCCTTAGTTGCAATTAGGGTTAGGGTTATAAAATTAAGTTTCAGTCCCTAACCTTTAAGTTATATTGAGATTTGGGTCTTTAAGTTTCGAATTTAATAATTCAGTCCCTAAGGTTTTAAAATTAATTAATTCGGGCCATTAAAGTTCTGAATTTATAATTAAAGTCCTCAAAATTAAATTATTAATTCAAATTGCCCCCCTAAGTTAATAATTAATTCAAATTGACCCCTAAAGTTTCAAATTTTTAAAATTTGATCCCTAAAGTTTTGAATTGGTCAATTTTGGCCCCTAAAGTTTTAAAGTTTGTTATAATTGATCCTCTAAAGTATTGAATTAATTAATTTTGGTCCCTAAAGTTTCAAGTTTATTAATTTCAACCCCTAAAGTTTGAAATTAATTAATTTTACCCCCTTAAAGTTTTGAATTATTAATCCTAAGGCCCCTAAAGTTTAAAACTAATCAAAATATGCAAAATTGGTGATTCTCTTTCTCAAATTTTGGTATTAAAGACTCTTTTAAAGAGATATAATATTCGAAAGTTAGATAATTGAAACAACATGTTGCCAAAGCAATCTCTCTTGTGAAAATTGACTAACTTAAAATGTTAAAAAGTGTTTGTGCACGTGTTATTCATGGAAATATTGGTCGGCCCAAAGGAAGGTCAATATTTAGCCGAAT